TTTATAATATATGCATATATATATATATATATATATATATATATATATATATATATATATATATATATATATATATATAATATATGTGTTGTGTTGTGTGTGTGTGTGTGTATGTGTGCGTGTCTTATATGTATACATACATACATGCATATGTACATATATATATAGATTTATCTATATATATACATATGAATTATACATGTATGAACTATCTATATACTTATAGATTTGCATATTTATAAACAGAGAAATATATATATAAAGCAGTTAATATCTGTGCATTTATCCTACCTTTTCGTTGTAATTAATCAAGAAAAAGTATAATGTCTCCTATGCTTCATCATCAGACAAAAATATGTATGCAATACATACATATACATATATGTACTACATACAAAGTAACAAATGATTATATAATAGGATAAAGAATGTGACTGAAATATACAAAACTCAAATGTATTCTGTCCGTTTCTCTGTAGCCATGGAGATCGACATGAAAGCTCCTGTGACGACGCGGGTCATCCCCGGAGAAGGACCCAACTGTGAGAACAACTTCACCATGAGCTTTTACGTCCCCGCCGCCCACCAAGACAACCCACCCACGCCCACTAAACCAAACATGTACATCGAAGTGCGACTTTAACTGCAAGTCTTCTTCAGGTAAATTGGATTTCACGTTCCTTTCTCTTTAACGTAGTTCATAGGAAGGCAAGTGAAAACTCAGTGAAACTAGATCCCGGCTACAAACACTGACTTAAAAAAAAAACTGCTAAATTTGTTGTAGGAGGTCCCCGCCGCCCACCAAGACAACCCTCACACGCCCACCAACCCTGACGTGTACATCGAAGAGAAACCGGAACTGCACGTCTTCTCCAGGTAAACTTTCCTTGACGTTCCTTTCATAATTTATATAATTTACAGGGAGGAATATTCACTGGTTCAATATAGACTATTGGCAGCCGGCGAGGAAGGCATCTACTTCCAGACTTCGTTATCATTGGTTTTGTTCATGAAGAAAGACATGAACTGAGTTTTATCTAAACTAGTTTATAATGCTACCTTATCTATTATTTATTGATTGAAGTACTGATATGCAAAAATAGAAAATGTACATTACATGATTTTTGTTTCATTACTTCCCTAAGTTTTATCAATTAATATGAATTATTTGTGAATTGTGCATTTGATCAGCAAAAGAAAGACTAAAATGGCAGACATTGTAACTATATTTTCTTTATAGAAAAATCAAGTTGTGTTTGTTCTAACTGAAAATGGTAATTTTTAATTCTTAACGCTATTGGGTAGTTATGAATTCTGGAGACATGGACAGTTACATCTTTCTCTTAAGACGCCTTCTGAACCAAGGAGATGTTTTAGGTAGCACTGGTTATTTTGTTGGTTAGCAGGATAACTCTAAAGCCAACTTAGATGCCATCAGATTTTGGCGATGATCCGGACCATGATCCGGATCCTGTGTTGGATAACTCAAGATATTATTTTATTTTTTATTTATTTATTATTATTATTATTATTTATTTATTTATTATTATTATTATTATTTTTTTTTTTTTTGGGGGGGGGTTGAAATTATCATCGTATGTGTGTTTTAGCTCACCTTAGATCCCATTAAGTTTTAGTGGTGATCCAGATACAGGATTTTTTAAAGGATTCGATAGCAATGCAACATAGGTAAACCAGTGTACTTGTAATTCTTCGAGTGTGAATAATTCCATTGCATTAGTGACTCACTTAATACTTTTAGTATGACTTTTAAACCACGCATCCTAAAACGCTTCCAATTTTGATGGCAGTTCTCCAAAGGAAATTATGATAAAAAAAAAAATAATAATAATAAAGATGGTCCAAACTGATT